TTCTGCTTACTTCTAGCTTCAGGTCATTGATAACTTCATTCCTGAACTGATCTATGAGGCTCTCTAGACGGCGCTTTATGTCTATTGGTGCGGTGTCCGCTATTACCTGTTTCTCAGGATTGGGGGCCGAGGAGCCTTTCTTGTTGCTGCCTCTTCCCATATTCTTTGTTCCTTATATATGCAAGCTTATATAGGAGGCCTAGCTTCCCTCCCTGTCAGCCGCAGCCTGATCGAATTGCACCGGCTAGGTGTTCCCACCCACTGCAGCACACCAGGAAGTTGCAGATCAGGCAGCCTACGCGGGGCCCACCCCTCCAGGCCACCCTCAGGCTCTGGGATCTGGGTTGGGCTAGCCTACTGGGTCCGCCAGCAGCGTCATGTAGGGTAGGCACTTCTCACCAATCCCGCTTGAGAGGGGAATACGTGGCTGAAGTTGCCACAGCGCCCTGCTCTCGCAAGACTGCCCAGTCCCAGAATGTCCTCCGCTGGAGTCAAACTGTGGTAGAGTGTCAGTTTCTCTCACTCACCTCACCACAAGTCAGTGCACGACTCCACGCCCGTCCCACTCTCAACTCCGTTCACCGATGCCTGTTCTCAGAGCTTCCGCGCACCTCTCTCCCTGCCAAGCTGATGTAGACGCAGCTGCCACGAAGCGGGAAACCCAAATCCAGGCTTCCAATGGTGCAGGCTCCAGCCTCCACACTGAGGCTTTTCTGTTCCTGTTCTAGCACCAGGACTGCATTCCAAGTTGGTTTCTCTCAGCCCAGTTCGTTCCTGGGTCAGCAGAGCATATCTCCACCTGCTTATGACTCCTTACTCTGCACCATTCCTGAATTATGAGCCGAGTCTTTCAGAGAGCCTCCGTAGCTGCTGTTATCTGTCCGCCATGTTCTCTCGGAAGTCATCAAGACCACATCTTTTTATCCATTCCTCAACAGATGGACATTTGGGTTGTTTCCAAGATTTAGCTATTACAGACTGTGCTGCTATAAACATGTGCGCACATGTATCACTGTGGTATGATGCTTTTAATTCTTCTGAAAAATACTCAGAAGAGGAATAGCTGGGTTGAATGGGATTCCCTGGTGTGAGAAGCTAAAAGAGTAAATAAGATTCAAAACACACGGTAGAGGCCAAGGATGCAACTCAGCAGCACAGCACTGCCTGGCAAGTGCAAGGTCCTGAGTTTGACTCCTGGAAACAAATGTATAACAGATATTGTGAAATGGGAAGAAACTATTCAAAATAAAGGAGAAACTGGGGTGGGGGAAAGAAGAAAGGAAGGAAGGGAAAAGGAAAAGATACAAGGTAGTTAAGATAGTTATAATACTAGATTCTCTTAGTTCATTGCAAAGAAAGATTTGTGCTTAAATTGTTTGGACAATTTTTCATGCCGGTATCTTGTACTCTGAGTAACTACTCTGTAGATAATAATATGCAATGTTTTAACTATTGTTACCCTCCTATTATATGTCTTTCTTTAAAATAGAAAAAAAAATGCCAAAAAAATTAGAAAAGGCTGATAACAGGAAATGGAGATAGAGTTTTTACAAGCAAGAAGTGGTCCGAGAGACCAAGGGTTGGGGGAGGAGGAAGAGGAAGGGAAAGCAAAAAAGATATGGATGTGTCCAGTATGTGTACTAAATTCTCATGATGACTATAAACATTGTGTGTCATAAACATGAACTAAAAATAATAATAACAAAATCTGAAAATGGGGAAAGGGGACCAAGAGATGGGGAGGAGGGAAAGAGGGAAAAATGAATTAAAGAGAATACAGAAATGATATGCATTTGTACCTGCCCCCCAAGATGAACGTAAACCTCACATATTACAAACACGTGCCAATAAAATATTTTATTTTTTGTCTTTTTGAGAGAAGATTTCACTACGCAATCCAGGCTGGCTATGAACTCACTGTATAACTGAGGCTGGCCTCGAACTCAAGATGACCCTCCTGCCTCAGCCTTCTGAGTGCTGGAATTACAGGTGTATCACCACCTTCAGCCATAAAAGAAATTTTTAAAAATTAAAAAAAAAAAGAATGGAAGTAGTGAGTCTCAGACTTTGTGGCCCACTGGGAAAGGTCCAGAAGTTTTAAAAACTTCTGAGCCCCCAGTCCACACTGAGCCCATAAATCAGTGCTGCGGCTGTCAGGAGGCAGTGCTGGTGGCTCTTACTGCTCCCCAGGTGAGTCCACCACCAGCCAGCTGTGAGAATTGCTGGGCCAGGAGCTGTGACATGCGTCCCCCAGGCATCAGTGAGGGTACTCTGCCTCTGGAGCAGTGGCAGGAAGGGCTTCTTTGTCTCCCAGACTCCCTAGCAACCCCTCCCAAATCCTGAAAACATCTGTTTTTGTGTCTATATTTATCTCTCTCTTGTGCAGCAAATCAGTGAAAATCTCCCTGTTCAGGACAGTGGATTCAATCTTTTCTGTAGCAGCATAAATCTTTTCTGTTCCCCAGCTTTAAAAACAGGTATCTGTGAATATGAGAAAGCCAGGGAAGTCTTCACTAAGGAGTGCAATAAAAATACTGCTAAAGGCCTCAGTTGTTAAATTATCTTCATGAAGGCTTTAAAAGGCCTCATTGCTGAGCCACCCCGGACTCACACAGCCTCTACTCAGAGGGGAGCAGGCGAGGGGCTGGCAGGCAGCCTGTGTTTAGGGACCACGTCCATGGGGGAGCCTTCTGAGCCCTTTCCGCTCATCACATCCTTTCTACTGATCAGTGTGAGCTGGGGTGCTTGACCTGCACCCCTGGGCTCTATCTTTCTTCCTCATCCTCATTTTCTTTGCGATTTTTGGAAAAGAAACTTAAATAGTGGAATCTGATGAACCATGGGAATCACGACAAGAGAGTGAGTCCACAGCATCTTTTAAAAATTTTTTATAAAAACAAAACAAACAGGATAGAAATGATATAGAATTTCAAAAAATAGTAGGAAATGAACCCTGGTTAATATATTGCATGTTGCTGTCTTAGAAGATGTTCAGATCACAAGATTCAGGCATAAAAACGATCAGACAATAAAAGCAAACTCTTCTTCCTGATGAACTTACAGAGATTAGTGGTATAGTTACCAATGCTTTATAAATATATACAGACATGGGGTAGGTGTAGCTACACACAGGCAATCGCTTCCTTTCTTCCTTTCCTCCTTTCCCCTATCCCAGTTCTTTCCTTTGAGCACTTTCTTCCCCTTCCATTTTCACAATATTTGTTGTACATTTTGAATCTTATTACTCTTTCAGTTTTTTCTTTATGTCTGGAGGACAATACAATATTTACATATGTGAATTTGATCTGATTATGAGTATGGTCTCCAGTTGCATCCACCTGTCTATAAAAGCCTCAAGTTTACCCTTCTTTATAGCTGAATTATTTCATTGCATAATAATATCACATCTTTGTATCTATCTGCGGTTGATGGGCATTTGGGTTGTTTCTAAGATCAAGATATTACAAACTGTGCTGCTGTAAACATAGTTGCACATACATCACTGTGGTATAATGTTTTTAACTCTTCTGGGAAGATATCCAGAAGGGGAAGAGCTGGTTTGGATGGGACAATCAATCCTAGTGTTTTGAGGAATCTCCACACTGATTTCCACAGTGGCTGCACCAGTCTACACTCCACCAATAGTGGAGAAGGGGGTCCTTTTTGCCTAAAGTCCCTCCAAGCATTTGTTACTGGTTGGCTTCTTGATGGCTACCACTGTTTCTGGAGTAAAATGGAATCTCAATGTTGTTTTAATTTGCATTTAATGATCAGTGATGCTGAACATTTTTTCAAGTACCAAAAGCATCTTATAAGTACTGCAATGAGAGACAGAGAGAGAGAGAGAGAGAGAGAGAGAGAGAGAGAGAGAGAGGATTATAGCCAGGTCCAGGACTCATGGCCATCATGAAACTTGAGTTGGCAAATGATTCTTGGGCCCAGAACCCTGGTCCATAGGGCCTATTAAAAAAAACAGCCAGAGGTCAAGTTTGCAAGAAAAGGCCTCCATGTGATGTAGAAAGTTGAGGCCTTTGAACCTCAAGGCATATGTGATCTTCCCAGTGAGGCTCCCCTGGGGCAATACAAACCAGATTTGGAGAATTGTTATAAACAAAAGGAGCCGTCAATGTTGACCATTTATGTTTCCAGTGTAAAGAGCTCTGTATGCCCAAAGCTGGAGAAGCAAGCTATGATTCCCGGCATGGAAAGGATGGGTTCTCAGGCCCTGTTCTCAGCCCAGGCTCTATGTTTACATGAAACTTTTTCCCCAACATGAGCCACAGTGAAGGCAGCATCTGACTGATGCAGTTTTATGTTTCTCTTCCTACAATAAGCATCGCTGGCCATGGGAAGACACCATATGCTATGCAAAATGAGTGTCACTGCAGCTGCCTTGGGAGAAGCTCAAGAAAGAAAGAAATTTAGGATGTGGGTCAGGAAGAAAGACAGATGAATCCTAACACACGAGGAAAGACAACAATGTTGTGTAGCCATCAGAAACATTTCACCAGGAAAATACCCTTACCTAACTAGATAATTGCCTGTGTATTAGCACAGACAACAACAGCAGGGATGGGTGCTGCTTGGGGTGACAGCAGCTTCTTAGCAGGGTATAAAAGGGGCCCAGGGCAGGGAGACTTCTTTTTTTTTTTTTTTTTTTTAATTTTTAAAAAATTTTTTTATTTAATTTTTTTTTATTTAAGGAGAAAAGAAAAAAAACAGTGAAAGGGTACAAGTTATACAGATTTACAGAAGAAAAAAATGAACAGTAGGAAATCATTAGTTAATCGATTACATATTGCCATCTTAGAAATAATTGTTCAAGTCACAAAATTAAAGCTTGTAGAGTGGACATTCCAACAATGATACTGCAAACAGTTCTGTTCAATGATCCAATAAAACTCTGTGATATCATTTTCTATCTTATACACTTAAATATACAGTTATATAGTTTACGGAACTCTACCTCGCAAACCACCCAGAACCTCAGCCCTGACACCATGGTCAGCTCTTGTTGTGGCTCCCTCTGCTCTGAGCAGGGCTGTGGCCAGGAGAGCTGCTGCCAGCGCAGCTGTTTCCAGACCACCTGCTACAGGACCACCTGCTGCCAGCCCAGCTGCTGTGTGTCCAGCTGCTGCAGGCCCCAGTGCTGCCAGTCTGTGTGTTGCCAGCCCAGTTGCTGCAGGCCCAGCTGCTGCATCTCCAGCTGCTGCAGACCCCAGTGCTGCCAGCCCAGCTGCTGCATTTCCAGCTGTTACGGGCCCAGCTACTGTGTGTCCAGCTGCTGCAGGCCCAGCTGCTGCATCTCCAGCTGCTGCAGGCCCCAGTGCTGCCAGCCCAGCTGCTGCATCTCCAGCTGCTGCAGGCCTAGCTGCTGCATCTCCAGTTGCTGCAGGCCTAGCTGCTGCATCTCTAGCTGCAGGCCCCAGTGCTGCCAGCCCAGCTGCTGCATCTCTAGCTGCTGCAGGCCCAGCTGCTGCATCTCCAGCTGCTGCAAGCCCAGCTGCTGCATCTCTAGCTGCAGGCCCCAGTGCTGCCAGCCCAGCTGCTGCATCTCCAGCTGCTGCAGGCCCCAGTGCTGCATTTCCAGCTGCTGCCGCCCCTCCTGCTGCAGGCCCACCTGCTGTCCCCTCTCCTGCTCTAGTGGTTCTTGCTGCTGAGTGTTCTGACCTGTGCTTTTGCTCTTGTTCATTGCCCATTCCTAAAAGCCTACATAAACTTGAGACTGAGTTACAATTGTTTTGAGACTCCAGATATTGTCCCTTGTCCCTTGGGATTTCTGTCTCTCTCTTTCCCAAATGAACCCAAGTTGTAATTCTCTGTGAAATCTGTTAACTGTTATGTCTCTGTCATGAAAATGCTTGTCCTGCTTCCATGATCTCATTTGAAGATATTCCTTCATGCTAAATAAATGAATTCAAATGACGAAGCTTAGAAACAGAAGTGAGTCATGTGTCCTTATTTTTCCTTTGTGAACTGTAACCCTCACATGGCAGTTTTGAGCTGTGTCATCATCATGGAGCGAGAGGCCCACAGAACACACTTTGGCTCCTTTAGCATGGAGGACGGCTCTGAGAGCTGCACCCAAGTCTGCCTATGGGATTTCCAAGATCAACATCGAATCTGACCCTTGAATTTGATTTAATTCCCATCCAACTTGGCTTGCAACCAGGGTCATGGAAAGAATCGAGCTCGTGAACTGAGGCACCACTGGGTTCTACTTCTGCAGAGCTACTGGTACCACGGAGAGGGGATGGAGATGCTACTATCATGCGTATCTCCTGTTTGTTTTCTCCTAGGGACCAGGCTTCTTTTCCAGGGCTGGGTCACAGGTCTGAGACCTGTGTTGTGGTTGGGATCTGGAACAGGGACTGTGGATTTCCATTGGAGCAGGTTATCTTCCCTGTGCTTATTTCTTCTGAAGCTCTTTTACAGAGAGCTACCATACACAAACACCAGATCTGCTGTGCTTGGTGGCTGGTGGCCCAGTGTACGGATACCCAGCTCCCTTCTGGGTATCCACAGAATTCTGTAAGCAACTTACAGCCCTCGGCCCAGTTACCTTTCTCACCTACCTTCCCCCACCACACAGCTATGCTCACAGGGAAATCAAAGGGAAGTGAATCACTCTGGACCTCTTGGCTCTTTCAGTTTTTATTTTGTTCGTACACGTTTGCAGTGCAGGAAGTTTGCAGTCATCTTGGGGGCATTGCCTGGGCATCACACAGCTGCTTTCTGTCCTTAATCCCCTCCCCCACCCTCACTCCCACTTAAAACCCCTTTTCCTTTTCCTTATTATCATTCTCAGCTCGTGTTTATGACATACATACAACATTTACAGCCATTGTGGGTGACTGGTACCTGTTCATGGCACACCTTGAATCTCCACGCTTGCTCTCCCTGCCTTCTCCCCTCACCCCCAGTCTCCTGAACCCCTTCCCACGGACAAGAGATCCATCTGCTTGTGCCCTTCTACCCATTCTTCATTATGCTGTTTGTTCGTACTTTGCCTCTCTGCAATGAGAGACACCATATGTCATGGAAGCTCGTGTGTCTGATTGATTTCATTTGAAATTGTATTTTCCGGGTGCATCCATATTCCTATAATTGTCTGAATTTATCTCTCTTTCTAGCCAAGTAGCATCCCATTGTGTATAGATGACACATTTCTTTACCTGTTCCTCTCTCCATGGGCAGACAGGCTGCTTCCAGGATTAACTACTGTGAATGGTGCTACTATGAACATTGCTACGCATGAACCACTGAGGCTGTCCTAAGCTCTTTTGAGGAGATATCTAGAAGGGTCTTAGCTGGGTCCTGTGGAATCTCCAAATTTTATTCTTTGGCCAACGAACATACTAAAAATAGTTCAACATTGCTGGCCAGTAGCCAGGAGAAATGGTGTTCTTTAGAAGTCAAAAGGTAACAAATGCTGGCGTGGGTGCGATGACAAAGGAACCAACCCTCTGACACTGTGACCTAGGATTGCAGTCATGGAAATCAGTGTGGAGATTGCTGGTCCTTTCTATTTTGCAAACTTAATAATCTCAGACTCAAGGATCTCGGGACATAGGTTCTGCAGAAGTGTTTCCTAGCACAAACTCCAGCTTTAGGAAAGAAGCACTACTGAATTTTCCCCAGAATTTCTGGAATAAACAGAGCACCATGTGGGACACAAGGGGAGCAGAGTCTGCCTGTGAGTGTCATTGTGAGTACGCTGACTCTTTCCTCTTCCGTGGGTTTTCAGGTTCCTGTAATTGTGGGCCTCTCTGTTTTGGTGGTGTTATTTCAGAATCTATCAGCTTAAAAAGTGTGCTTTTATTATGTTACCACTTTTGGGAGTCAGTGATCTGATACAGCCAGCTGGGCTCTGGGTTTCTTGGTCATCCATGAAGCTTCATTACGGTGTGGCCGCAAGTGGGTGTCACGTGAGGGCCACCCCGGGGGATCTACACCCAGAGTCACTTTGGGCTGCTCAGGGCATCGGGTTCCTGAGGCTATGGGCACGGGAGCCTGGGTGCCTGTGAGGTGCTGAGTGGAGGTGGAACTCAGCTGTATCACATGGCCCTCTGCCACAGGAGCAGAGTCTTCGGGACAGTGACAGAGGGAGAGCTGTGTAAGACAGTGGACCAGCGAGGGGACAGTTACTGTCACATAGAAGTTGGTCACTGAGTGTTCACCTGGGCTTGGTTTCAGTGGCTGTGGAAGCATAGGGAATCAGCACATCATGAACACAAGAAAAAGCAAATAATCAGAGGCTGCTTTATAGACTGGCTATCATGGGTATTCTTACCATGGAGAAAAGAAGGAAAATACGATACATATCTAAGCTTGTATCCTTATAACACTGAAAATCGTGTTATGCTGACCATTCTTCATTAGAAGTATGTATTGAGATGTTGAAGGTTTAATGAAAAGAAATAAAAAGATCATTTTATTTTAAAATTTAAAAATCATGATGGGGGTAGCTCTGAGGTAGAGCACTTGCCCAGCAGGTGTGAGCCTGAGTTTGATCTCTAGCACTGGAAAAGAACCAAATCAGACCCTTATGGTTTGTATCTGGTTGCCACTGTGCTCTAGAATATGTGACTGATTCATGGGTCAGTGCTGGGATGATGGCTGTGAGTGTGGCCTAGAGTAAGTAGCCCACATACAGCAGAAGGGGCAGAAAGAGTCTCCTTTCTCTCTCCTCCCATTTGCTCTTGCTGCTTTCGCCATCTTCTGCTGCTTTTGCCATCTTATGCCACAGTGAGCTGCTGCCCCTCTGACACGCCACCCTGCCTCAGAGCCAGCTGAATACGGACTCGCACTTCCATACACTCTGAGCTAAATTAAGCTTTCCTTCCTTAATTTTGGGTGTTGGGTATTTTGTCTTAGCAATGAGAGAAAAGTAACCAACACACAAACCAAACCAAGAATCAGGCTAAAGAGTCTTTCCAGTGTATGGAGACAGATGTGGTCTGGAAGAGACAAACACTATCCCTGCATGACGATTACACAGTCTCTTTCAGAGCCTGAGCTTTGAGTGCATAGACACTTGTGTAATAATTATTCACTACATTATACCTGGACACTTTACATACTTTTTACTGTGAGTATCTTTTTCATAAGAACAATGAGTTCTAACATGTTCAGCCAAAGTGATGTGTTTTCATAAGATCTACAAAGCAAGCTTGATTAGGAAATGAAAGATGATATTGCAAAGAAAACGAAAATTTCCAGCAATTTCTGTGATGCTGACTATCTGACTGCATAAATCACATCCCATTGAGATGAGAAATCCTGGTGGGTAGAGACTCCTGTTTCAGTGGAGCTTGATTTTTATTGTGAAATAACTTAGTTCAAATAAAAATATGTTAATTTTCCTGTCAGTTCAGCATGGTTGTTGTAGCTGTCTCTACATAGATCACAGTGTTATGAATAAGACGCTACACTTTGCCTGGTGGCAGTTCCTCTTCGCTCCATACAGAATGTGCGTGTATGCTAACCCCATCGTGCATTAGCATGATATGGATCATAGGCTCTCACAAGGGTTCCCTGTTCCTGACAGATATAATTCAGCTCCTGGGCAGTGTTTGCAAATGTTGAGGGCATCTACTCCACTCAAATTTCCTTCATGTGGACTCAACTGAGTTCTTCATCTCTAAGCATTCACAAAGCACAATGAAAAAACAGTGAAAGGAAAAGAATAACGTGAAAATGATAACCCATCTACTGCTCCGCGAAGAGATGCAGCGTAGGTCTATGTCCCGTAATTTATGAGGATCATGCAGATATCAATCACCAATTCTACTTCCCTAGAATGTGGGTAGAATTTAGTGAGGGAGGCATCTCTTCTGCTTTTGAGCTTCCTCTTTAAAATTCCCAGCATGCTACCTAGCATCATTTCTCGTTGTGCTTCCTGCCCTGTTGGTGCAGGGCTGACCAATGTGGCACTGCTGGTTTTGCTGTTAGCATGATGTAATAGTACGGAGAATTATCACTGTTTTACTCTACAGGGCTCAGAGTTCAGAGGTTCCCATTCAGGATCATTTTTCTCTATTACTTAGATAATAGAAAAAGTCACTGTTATGGTTTGTATGTGGATGTTCCCCCATTGCCATGCATACTCCTAGCTGGGGAGGTTTGGGGGTGGCTGGGTTAGGGTATGTGAATGCAGATTTAGGCTGTGACATGGGGACCCAGTGTGTGGACAGTGGAAGCCCTACACTGATGTGGGTATACTGGATGGATGTAAAGGGACAGAAGGAGGCAGGCTGCTTGCTGTGTACTCCTGTGAGTGCTGACTGCCGAGCTGCCCTGCTTCAGAACCAGCTGATCGCAGGATGAAACCTCTCTGAACTGTGGTCCAAAATAAACTTTTCCTCCTTTTTGGAAAATGGAACCCAAACAGTAAGATATGATCAACAACTTAGATCATGATGGATGAGAGAGAGAGAGCACAGTGCCTCTTCAGAGACCAGGAACTCCACAGAGAGAGCAGATGGCAGTGTATGAGTTATACTACAATGTCAACAACCTGGGTCATCTAACTCAGACTGACAGCTGCATCTTGGACCAATGAAAAGTGAGACAACATGACCTGTGAAAGCCGGGAACACCGGAAGTCAGAGTCAGAAGGAGACCCTTCCTTACGGAGTGGAGAGCTGAGGGATCTGAACCTCATGGAGTGGACAGTCTCAACAGCCAACTCCCTCTAACCTCATTAGGCTGTAAATATAAGGCTGGGGGATGGGTTCTGGGGAGAAAGGGCAAGCAAAGTGCCCCCACGTAGGATGACACCTTCAAGGGTTCTGGGTCTCTTAGGAAGGTCTGGAAAACAGAGCCCAATTCATGGCAGGGAGACTTCATGCTCTCTGGGCTGTGGCCACACAATTTTCTGTTCCTCATGTGAAAATCTGTGTCAACCTTACCCATAATGGAAGGGCCATGAGACTAACACGCAGCATTACTAAGCATTATAGGCCTCTGAGAAGTTCTATTTCCCATGTGCATATGCAATAAGCTAAGAAAACTGAAAGCGTATACTACTAAGAGGCAAGCTGCTCTGTGACAGCTGCTTTTAAAGAAGCTGAGGCCAGCAGCACACTAGGGAGGTGAGTAGCAGGAAAAGCTGATAGGTGAACCCTAACACACAGGAGGAGGAAGTCCTACTTTTTATGACTTTGAACACTAACAAGAAAAATACATTTACCTAATATGATACCTGCCAAATTATTAACACAAACAATAACAAGGAAAGAGGGAGCCAATAATGATCACAACCACCTGGCGGGGTATAAAAGGGGCCAAGGACAGGGAGGCTTCCACACCTCACAGACCTCCACCTCACAAACCACCCAGAACCTCAGCCCCGACACCATGGTCAGCTCCTGTTGTGGCTCTGTCTGCTCTGAGCAGGGCTGTGGCCAGGAGAGCTGCTGCCAGCCCAGCTGTTTCCAGACCACCTGCTGCCAGCCCAGCTGTTGTGTGTCCAGCTGCTTTTGGCCCCCGTGGTGCCAGTCTGTATGCTGCCAGCCCAGTTGCTGCCAGCCCAGCTGCTGCAGGACCACCTGCTGCCAGCCCAGCTGCTGTGTGTCCAGCTGCTGCAGGCCCCAGTGCTGCCAGCCCAGCTACTGCAGGACCACCTGCTGCCAATCTGTGTGCTGCCAGCTCACCTGCTCCTGGCCCAGCTGCTGTGTGTCCAGCTGCTGCAGGCCCCAGTGCTGCCAGTCTGTGTGCTGCCAGTCCACCTGCTGCAGGACCACCTGCTGCAGGCCTTCCTGCTGCATCTCCAGCTGCTGCAGGCCCAGCTGCTGCATTCCCAGCTGTTGCCAGCCCACCTGCTGCCGCCCCACCTGCTGTAGTGCTTCTTGTTGCTGAGGGCTCTGACCTGAGCTCCTATTATTCATCAACCAACACTCTATGTGTAGAGCACTGTGGGAGGCCAAGTGTCAGGTCACCGCCAGCTGATGCTGGATTTGCCTGCACACGTACCTCAGCTGAGGTAATGTCTCCCTCCTGGATACATGCTTGCTTTTCTCTGAAATCTCTCAGCCTTCAAGTCACTCCCATGAAAATACTTGGATTCTGACACTTCTTCCTCAAATGGAGCAATTTCTGCCATTTAAATAAACCTGTATCTTCCTAGCACAGAGATAAGATGAGATCCTGTGTCTTTATTTTACTTCCTGAGTTGTCCTTCACTTTCCCTGTTAGAGTAGGGATCGCTGAAGAATACGCAGAGCAGGGACCCTGGACTCTGACGCTTTTGCCGTCTTCCGGTGGCACCCTTCACCCTGTCACAGGAGCAGCTTGGGACTCTGCCTAGGGACCTCTGGGCCTAAAGCACAGGAGCGAGGCAGGAGAGGAAGGCTCTGAGCACAGATCTCTCCCAGCGAGAGGGAGCTGTGGGCAAAGGGGACAATGCTCTTCTCCCAGAGGGAGGTCAGCTGTGCTAGTCTTCTACAAGGCCTAGAATACATGGTGCTCTGTTGTTAGTGTCACTTGCATTGGCTCCTCTCCTCACCCTGGATTACTTCCAAGTCCCCACTGCACCTTCTGGGATCGTTTCTCAAATGATATCTTTGCTTGCAATCTCGGTATCTGGTCACTTCAGAGGACGCCCAGTGTAAGACTGTGTTCCGATCACAGGGCTGGTGCCCTTTACCTCTTTGTTACAACACTCACTGTCACCACAGGGTCAGTGTGAATTCTTGGGCTTACTGCCCATGGCATTGGCACATCTACAGATGCTGTGCCTTCTCCCCTGATTTTTGCACAGCTGGTTTTAGGGCAGCCATCTCGAATGGTTTCTATCCACAACACATGAGCTGAGGGGGTTACGTGTGGGGTGTCATGCTAAGGTGAGTGAGTCTAGCTGAATTAAATCAAAATGAAACTTTCCTAAATGATTTTTTTCCAGGAAATATTAGCAAACAAATGCTCACAGGAGAGATCTGGAGGAAACTGTGAAAGGAAGTTAGAATGGGAAAGAGGATGGGGCAGTGTTTAGTATCAGGTGCTCTCACCTAACATCCCTACAGGCTCTCAGGGGAAGGCCACTGAGCCTTCACCCCGCTCCCCAGCGATGCCCAGCTCTCGGCCATTCCCTGCAAGGTCACCCCAGGTACTATTGGAGTAGGCAGCTCCACAGGAAGTGGCCCCACCCCTGGTACTATTAAAGTTAGACAGCCCCACAGGAAGTGGCCCCTGTAGCTCATGACAGTTTCCTGGAGAACAGAGCAGGTGTACACTGAGTCACCTGTACGATCGCACTAACTTCAGGATGGGGACAATTAAGACACCAGGGGCCTGGGCAGGTATCACATCATCCAGTGCATCCTCCTGCTTCTCTTGCTTAGCTCTTCTAATTGATTAGTTCAAATAATTACCGGAAGTTGTCTTATAAGTGTTAGGGGTAGCATCCTGCCAATTTGGTAGAGCTCTAGGTGCTTATCCTGACAGTCCTGAACCTGTGGTTCCCATGTCTTCATTAGACCACAGGCATTGTGCTTTCCTAGCCCCTATTAAAAATAGAGCTAAAAATGCTGAGAATCCCTGGTGGATCCCCAAGGGCTGAGTACTCCCCCTAGCCCAGTGTGGAGCAGGTCTCCTCCTTCCCCTGAGGGTGCATTAGGTGTAGTGGGGTAGGTCCTTCCTTTCTCTCACTCCGGCATGCCAAGATCAGAGTGGTAAGGTGAAGACCGTAGCCTTCATCCCACTGAGACCCTTATTATGCCCTCTGGACCCAGAATCTCCACTTCCACAGAGGCTAAATTTATGATTTCCTCAGTGGGTCACTGGGAGTGTAGGTAAAAGAAGCAATTCTCATTCTGATGTCTTAGTCTCTGTATGAATGTTTCTAGCTGTGACGATGGAGTCCCACTTACAGTCATTCCTTTAAGTTGGAATCAGCATGCTGGAGGGTTGTGCCCCAGCCTCGAAGAATAACAGTTCCAAGCTGGTACCCGGGCCGTGGCTGCTGGAGGTGGTGTCATCACACTGAGTCCACCGCCTTCTGGAGGGTGCAGTGCAAAGTACAAATAGGGATGCTCATGACTTATATCCACTTTTCACTACACAAGGTCTATCGCTCCCAGTTATATATGGTCCCATGGCATTTGATCACATACTCTTGAGCCCTTGGATAATGACTTGGCTCAAAAAGTCTGTCAACGGCTTAGCTCTTGTGCTCAGAGGTGTGGCTCTCAGAAAGCTACTGTATCATCAGGGCACTGACCTGTACATGGGTCACTCCGTTGATGTATTGAATCTTTGGATATGGGGCCAACTTGAAAGAAGTTGGTCATTGCATGCTTGACTTTCTAGGAAATATCTAAAGCTATGGATTTCTTCAGGCAGTTTGCTTCTTTTTTTCCATGAGTTAAGACAGTCTTTCTGCCATGGTGTTATGCCTCATGCAGGCCTCCGAAACCATGAGCTGGTAAAACCTTTCCTCATTCGAGTTTGTAGGTGTCAGATATTTTACCCCAGCAATGAAAACCTGACTGACATGGCAAATTGGTACTGAGAAGGCATGGTCATTGCTCTAACTTTATCTGACCACGTAATTCAGAATTCTTCGGAGCTGATTTGTGGGGAAAGTTTGCAGAAATTCGGGGAACTGGGTGGGAGATGAGGTGGACAGTTCTAAGTAGAGATCTGTGATCAGTTACTGCCTGAGCTCAGATCGCAGTGCTGATAATAATGTGGTCAGTAGGACAGTGCTCCTGAGGTGTTAGATGGTGATAAGGACTCTACTTGGAATTGACCTCAAGACCAATCTTCTTACATGACAATGAATTTGTCTACATTTCGTCCGTTGCCTGAAATGTTTCTTGAGGCTGAATTTAAAGGTAATGTACTGATTAATGTGGAGGAGGATTTCAAGGCAGCCAAACCTTCCTCTTACAGATTCAGTACTACTGGCTTTGAGGCATATTTTCAGTGAGAAGAAGCAGCAAAAAGCAGAGCTGAAAGGTTTAAACATCTTTCACCTTTTCCAGAAAAGAACTGCATGTAAAGTTTGGCTAGGGAGAGTGGCAGTTATTGAGCAGATTAGTGTCATCAAAGCAGCCAACTACTGTGCACTGGGACACTAAGAAAGATATCTCAAGCATATCTCAGGAAGCAGCCAGATGTCACCCCTCTCACACTCAAGGTTATTTGAAAGACTTTGCTTCTAGAATACAGCCTCAGAGCACTCTGCTGAGTCAGAATCACCAAGAAAAATTGTTTCCCTGAGTCCAGACAACCAATCACTAACAAGCCACTGTAAGCATAGTCCAAGGAGGCCTGGCTACTGTTTGCATGAGACGAGGCCTGGACAATGTCCCCATATCACACTGTTTGGCCAGGCATGGAAGTTTCAAGGGTCACAAGGTTAGAGAGGCTTTCAAACAGATGTCAAGGAAGGCCTGGAGTTTTAAGCAATTTGCCCTTGAGTATACAATGCACGAAGCTGTGATTGTTGGTTTTCATGAGGTGACTGGGCCCCAAAATGAGGTGCACTGGATGAAAAGAGAACAAGAGAGACAAAGTTATGGGGTTGGGAGACCAAGTCTCTATGACTGAGCCTTGATTTTAGGTTTCTCTGGCTATTTATTAAAGTCTATTTATTTATTTATTAAAGTCTCTGGCTATTTATTAAAGAAACAGAAGTGGGAATGGGAGGGGTAAAGTATGGATAACTGAGAACTGAATTGTTTAATTCAGGGACCATCTTTGGTTACATATGGACCTCACATTTACCATTATTTCAAACAGATCTTGGCACAGCATCTGTGCTGCCCCAATAGCATTCTTGCCACTGGGACTAAGGTCCGCTTTCCTTTCCTTTCACACCATGCTTTAACAAGGCTTCCTGCAGGATAGTCATGGGGCCCAGCAGAGCTCGAGGCCCCGGGAGTTACGAGAGATCAGGTTAGTTGAAGACATATCTGTTCCCACGAGAGAGTGAAGCTGAAACAATGAGGACCTGCAGGAGGCTGGAGAGGCCAGGAATGTCAGCACCTGCCAAGGAAAGCTGCCATGAGCACCTGCCATGAGCAGAGCCAGCTCAAGGGAGAGGTCACGAGGGCTGCCACTGGCAAGGCCACAAGGGTGATGCTGCCCAAGGCTCCTGTAGCTGATGCTACAAAACCTTGGACCCTGGATGCCAGACATGAAGCTACAGGTCCTAATTTTTGTTTCACTGAGTTTCAGTCATTATTTGGTTGGCTGTCTACTCACCTACTCCTCTTTGTTGGAATGAGAAAGATTTCTTGGTAATATGTTAGGATTTGGGGGGTGCTTTTTATAGGGGCTCTTAGCTAAGAAGAGTCACCTCGAGTCTCAGAGGAGACACTTGTGGGAAATGTGCAACTATTGACACTTACAGCATTCTACATAATGAGATGACAGGAGACTTTGGGGACAGGGGCAGATTCTTATATGTTAGATTAAAAACAAAATCCCTGTCTTAGTTACTTTTTCATTGCTGGGACAAAATGCCCAAGATGCACAAGTTAAAGGAGGAAAGGTTTATTTCAGCCCATTTGTAGAGGTTTCAGTCTACAGTGGCTGCCTCCAGACAGGGTAGCATGGCAGAGGGGAAATAGTCCATGGTGAGCCAGTAGTGAGCCTTCCTTTCCTTTTTTATTCCATTCAGGATGCAAGCTTATTGGTGGGTGTCTCCCAAACTCAGAGCAGGCCTTCTGATTATCCACACCCAGAAATACACTTAACTAATCAGTGGATTACTCAGTATCACACCCATGTTGCAGTCACCTCCCCAGAACTCAATCTATGAGGGAATGAGGCTTTGGGGAGACATGTAAATACAAGCCAGAACAGTTCCTGAAAAGAATCAGATATTCAGAGGTCAGGTTTTCAGAAGGCAGGCAAATGTGTCACGAATCTTTCCAGCATCAATGAATTCCTAGCTGGATGAGCAGTAGGACGTGAGGCCCAGATCAAAGCCTGGTGCATCACTGGCACTGTCTGTCTTCCTCCTTTTCTGCTTCCTGTCTGTCTGGCATTAAGCAGTTTTTCTCTTCCTTGTCCTCTGCCAGGATACTTCGGAGTTAGAGCAGCCAGCCGTGGAGTGAACCTTGGAAACTGGAAGCCAAAATCAACTTCTCCTTCAAGTTGTGCTTACCTGGT